CTCTCTCTCTCTCTCTCTCTCTCTCTCTCTCTCTCTCTTTATATAGGTTGCAACCTTGAACAATCCAATTAAGGTGCACCTCCAAATTTTATCATAATATGTAATTTTGGTGTAAAAAATTCTTAAGATTATCTAAATATTTATTTTCATATCTAATCATAAGATTTTAAAGTAAAAAAATAGTTAAAATCAAGTAGATCTATAAACATATGAAAATGTTGAAAATGGACGATTTAGATAATGTGTTGCAAGATGCACTATTTTTTAGATTCAAAATCTTTGTCTTCTTCATATTCATACATATTGATGTCGAGATGATCAATTTGAGGTTTTCCAACATTAAAACAACATTTTTGGATGGATTTTTTAGTCGCATCTTTAGTTCTACATTTAAGGCTGCAACCTTATATAAACTTTTTCCATATATATAAATGGAAAAGGTTTAGCAACGCCTATAGGCGAAAATGAATAGTGATTTCGCCTACCTTCATCACCAACCAAACTTCGTCGCACAATCACGATTGTCCGATAGTGTTTCAATTTTCATTTTTTTCTACAAATCGGATTGATCTGAAGTTTGGAGCGTGTGTTCATGAAAAATTGATCAAAATACCGCTGAAATTTTACGGGAGATCAATTTAAATTTTGCGAATTATTTTTTTCATATTTTTATTAGGTGTACCTCACTAAGATGTACACACATTCCAAATTTCAGATCATTACGATTTGTAGAAAAAAAAATGAAAAATGAAACACTATTGGATAACCATGACCGTACGATGAAGTTTGATTGGCGATAAGGGTAGGCGAAATCACTATTTATTTTCACCTATAGGCGTCGCTAATATATATATATAATTTCACTCCTGTATGAGCGATTGTGTATCTGGCTCTTGAACTCTATTAATGTGGTGTTAAAACATGAGCCACCTGTTGTTTGATGATCTATACGAGAACGTTATTTGCGCAATGGTGCAAAAAGGTCATTGTGTCATGTTTTGCATTTCGTCTTGCCTTTTGCTTGTGAATGTTTGATTTCTTTTCTATTCCTAGAAATGCTTGTTTCCTGCATATTAGTTCAAGCTCCATCAAGTTTTGACCTGTAGTTTGTTATACTAGACAAGAATCGTGAACAAGCAGATGCTCAGACTGAGATTAAGGATTTAAAGCTGACAAATTGGCTGAAAGAAAAGGCTCTAGATGAGGTATGTTGCTCCATGGATGCTTTAATTTTGTCAATTACATTAGCTTTGTTATTCTTTTTATTCTCTTTCTCTCATTCTTATCTATATTTGGTGACGAGTGAGAATTTATGCATGTATCTGTCAAAAATAAGGATCTTGAATAGAGCTACTGATTACCTCGCGATCTGTATTTTGTGAGGATTGAATATTGGTAATCTTTGAAGAGGATGAAGATAGGAAAGTCTTTAGGACCATATGGTATTGTGATAGAGGTTAGGAAGTGCATGGGGGAGATTGACATTGATTGGCTGACCAAGCTGTTCAACAAGGTGCTAAGAACAAAGAATATGCTTGACGAATAGTGGAAAAGTATTGTGGTACCTATTTGCAAGAAGAAACGAGATACAAAATTGTGTGAATTATCGAGGGATCAAACTTATGAGCCACACTATGAAGCCATGGGAGAGAGTGATTGAGCAACGATTAATGCATGAAACGAGTGTATCAGAAAACCCATTCGATTTTATGCTAATGAGGTCAACAACTAAGGCTATTTTCCTACTTAGACAACTAATTGAGAAGTTCAAAGCGACAGGAAATGACCTCCACATGGTCTTTATCGATCTAGAAAAAACTTATGACAGAGTACCTTGAGATTTGATTTAGTGGGTGTTGGAAAAGAACGGAGTCTCCAGACACTATATTGACTTGGTGAGAGATATGTATGAGGGAGCGCTAACTAATTTATGAACAACTAGTGGAGAGATGAGTGGTTTTTCAATGACAATAGGTCTACATCATGAGTCAGCATTGAGCCCATACCTCTTTGTCTTAGTTATGAACAACTTAATTAGGCATCTACATGACGAGGTAACGTGGTGCATGTTGTTCGCAGGCGACATAGTTTTGATCGATGACTTAACTAGGCATCAACACAAAGTTAGAACTTTGGAGGGATGCTTTAGAATCTAAAGGTTTTAAAATTAGCTGGACCAAGACAAAATATATGAAATGCAAATTTAGTAATAATGAAAATAGAGACGAGGTAGTAGTTAAGATTGACAACCAAGAAATACCAAAAAGAGTGCACTTTCGATATCTTGGATCGATAATCCAGGAAAATGAAGAGATTGAGAAAGATGTCGCACATAGAATTAGAATTGGGTGGGCGAAGTGGAGATGTTTAACCAAAGTTTTATGTAAGCTGAAGGGCAAGTTCTATAGGACATCTGTGAGACCAATTTTGTTTTATTGGACGGAATGTTGAGCCGTCGAAAAACAATATACCTGAGATGAGGATGTTGAGATGGATGAGCGGCAAGACAAGAAGGGATAGAATTCGAAATGAATACATTCGGGAGCATTTGGGTGTGGCACCAATAGGTGATAAGATGAGAGAAAGTAGACTTGCGTGGACTAGCCATGTGTGACGCAGATCCAATACAACACCTGTTAGGAGGTGTAAGTTAGTCCAAGCAGAAGACTCAAGTAGGCCCAAAAGGGCAAGGTTGGAAGTAGTAAGAAAGGACATGGGAATTTATTGCCTCGCTGAGGGTATGGCCCTTAATAGAGTAGAATGGTAGACCAAGATTTAGAGGCTCAGATGATAAATGTGATAAAGGGATTTGGCAATAGTATTATGGTTCAATTTCTGAACTAGAATAATGATGAAAAATAAAATTTGTTCCATAATGTTCAATTGTGTGGTTCTTGGTTTATATCATCATAATTTTCTCAAGAAAAATATTTTTCATACATAAGGATTAAGGAATTTTATTCTATTTTTTGCGGTACTCTTTTGTAGCTGCAAATTTGATCTCGCATTTTGAGTGATGTTGCATTTCTGGTTCCCGGTTTTGAAAAACATGCTTTGGAGCAATTATGGATCATAATAAAAAAAATAAGGTTAAGAGTAAATCTCACGTTTTCGTAAACTTTATGGGATTGGGGAGTGCACTCTTATCCATCGGATGATCTTTAAAGGATTACCCCTTGGAATGTATGGCCTAATGAGATTGCCTCTCAAGAGTCGATATAAGAAATTGTACTAGGGCCCTTTTGGCCTGGCCCAAATTAAATTTGTAC